ATTTTAAAAATAAATAAAGAAATGTGCTCTTGCTTTGCTTAAACCTGAGCAAACGAATCTACACTTTAACAAAGAAGCCCACCATACGTATGCTATGAAGAAGCTATTCAGGGGACAGGCTGTATTCAGAAATAAACTTCTAGAAATTAAAAATAATTCTCTACTTTCATAGAATCTGGTTATTGATTCTTTTTTATCAGAAATCAGCTGGCCTTTACCAAGTATAAAAATGCTTGTGTTTCTTTTTCCCAAAGCAAGGGAGCTTCAAGAAATTGTTGGAAAAATTCCATCTTTTCATTCCATTTCCCCTGGTATATTTCTATACATTTTCCTATACGCCATCCAGCATCACACTGAAGACACCCTAATCTAGACCCCTAGCCCACGCTTGGCACCTGAACACCAGATATTTCTCCTCAAGTATGTGCTTGGATATTAAATCACCTGGAGATGCCACACATTCAACAAGCTTAACTGAAAACATCCCCCCTTTTCCATGTTTCATATCTTGGCACATTTCTTCTTTATTTTCTTATCATCAGAGCTCCAACTCTACATCTCCAGGGTTACCTGTGCCATCTCAACTCCAGGTTTGTCTTTTTCAACATCTCCCTGAACCCACTGCTTCCTTTCTCTGCATTTTACAGTGACTGACGCCAGGGTCCACGAGCTCCCCAAACCAGAAGTCAGGAATGTTTTCCAGACTGCTTACTTGCTTCTGGCATCCGGGGCCTCCTCCTCATGACCCCTAATTTTGCCACAGGTTAGTTCCTCATCCAGAGCCGTGGTGGTGCCAAGGGCTAAACACTCAGCTATGAATCAAAAGGGGGCTGCTCTTTAGGAGAAAGACAGGCAGTCTGCTTCTGGAAGGATTTACAGCCTAGAAGACAAGATAGCGCAGTTCTCTCTGTCCTATGGCATCACTAGCAGCTGGAAATGGCCAACTCAGAAGCAGGAGAGATTCCTGCAGCCCACAAGCAAGAAGAGACACCATGGAGCATGGACCATATTATCCTCAGCTTACAGAGGTGGAGGCACCAGAGGCCTGGAGACCACCAGACAAACAGAGGTGTCAGGCTGAGTCAGAGCAGAGGAGCCAAGCTGAGATCATGAGGCAGTGAGGCGGCGAAGCAGCGGGCTTCATGGTCCCCAGAGGCAGAGACCAAGGGACTCTGAGAGGCTGAAGACCAGGGAAATACCCACCAGCATGGCTAAGAAGAGGTGCTGGGGGAGCGGTGGGAGGACCTTTATCCTTACTGTTTTGTAAACTGTTAGCTACTCGAATAAACGTCCATGATGGTGACAACTGCCTGAGAGTTCCGTGCGGCCACTTCAATGAATCATCAAAACCAGTCGAAAAGTAGGGAGCCCTGGCGGCCTGTAGGGTTGCTCACTGTAAAGGCTGTAGTTCGAAACCACTTTGAGGAAGATGAAACTTTCTACTCCTGGAAAGGGTTACGGTCCTGGAAACCTGCAGGGGAAGTTCTACCCTGTCGCATAGGGTCATCTGCGCCGGAGTGACGTGACGGCTGTGTTTGGTTTTGGAAAACAGGAGAGTGCCCCGGGAGGGAGTCAGAATAGGATAAAAGAGGATGGAAGGTGGAGGCACGTCTGACCTCTGCCTTACGGAAATCAGCCTTGGAGTCAAGTCGTGGACTGGGATTCCCCTCCTCTGTGTGGTCTGAGGAGCAAAGACATGGCCCCCAAGGACTGGGCTCTCCCTCTTTGCCAAGAACCCCCCAAAAGTCACTGTCGTCGACCCAATTCTGACTCCCAAGAAACCTATGTATATTTGTTTTACCACTACACTAAATTCAGTGAATTCAAAGAGCATTTCTTCATCTTAGAACTCTGGGCATCTAGTACCACCCTTACCCTCAAATAAGTACTCAATAGGTATTTCTGTTGAAGTTAACTGAACAAATTAATCCAATTTACTCTAGTAAATGGCTTTCCTTCCTTAGTTGTGGAACTGATTAAAACATGTAATAGTTGTACTAGAAGCAATATCAAGGATTTTCCTGGTTTATCTCATTTAACCTTCACTACAAGCGCTACTTCCTGAAAGTGAAGAGTTGAAGCAATTACTAAAGACCAAGGGCTACATAGCCTTTATTCTGGATCACAGGTGGTCGCTAGA